TTAAAAACAGAACTACCATATGATCCAGCAAGTTCATTATCCAAAAGAATTAAAAACAGGATCTCAAAGAGATACTTGCAAACCCACATTCATTATAGCATTATTCACAATGCCCAAGATACAGAAGCAGCCTAAATACTCATTACTGGATGAATGGATAAATAAAATGTTATACACACACACATATATGTGTATATATATAATGGAATATTATATGGTCTTGAAGGTAATCCTCCAGAAGGGAGGTTGGTGGGGGGATGGGTGAAATAGGTGATGGGAATTAAAGAGTGCACTTGTGATGAGCACGGGGTGATACATGGAAGTGCTGAATCACTGTATTATACACCTGAAACTAATATTACACTGTATGTTAACTAGAATTTAAATATTTTTTTAAAAATGCCAGTATTTACAACATTAAAAAAAAAAAAGAAGGTAATCCTGACAAATACAACAACATGGATGAACCTTGAGGACATAAGGTTAAGTGAAATAAGCCAATTACAAAAGACAAATACTTTTTATTATTTTAGACCACTTATAAGAGGTCTCTAAAATAATCAAATTCATAGTAACAGAAAGTAGAATGATTGCCAGGGCTGGAGAGACAGGGACATGGGGAACTGTTTCTCAATAGGTATAGCGTTTCAGTCATTCGAGATGAAAAAGTTTGAGAGATCTGTTGTACAACAAGGCGCGTAGAGTTAAAAATACTTGTATTATACACTTACAAATTATGAGGGTAAATTTGTTATGTATTTTTTTGCCACAATAAAAAAAAGGAAATGAGGCAATAATGTAAGGAGCCAACACCCTTCTATATAATATTGTACACTGCCACATGACTCTTCAAGGAATAATAGAAGCTAAATGAATATAATAGCATCCTTCTAATTACTTATAGAAAGGAGCAGGTTTAATTCAACTGTTTTGAATCTGAGACAGAGAGCTATCCTCATGTACAAACAAAAAATGAAATTTTTCAGATAAATTATATTACATATTTATCTATTTTTAAACATTTTATCAGATATTTGCACTTGAAGAGTCTTCTTCGTATTCAGATAAAACTTTCTAACTACTAGAATAAACTGAGTCCAATACAGGGAAAACCATCAGCATCCAAAATGTCCTTGGTATTAGCCAACAGGACAATAACCAAATGATCTTCCCATCTGTTTTCATTGTTGGAAACCTTAAGAATGCATCTAGAGTAACTCCATACCTGCCAGAATGTCACTTAATCAATTGAGGACTGAAACCCACTTAAAATTCTATGCTCAGGGCGCCTGGGTGGCTCAGTCATTAAGTGTCTGCCTTCGGCTCAGGTCATGATCCCGGGGTCCTGGGATCGAGCCCCGCATCAGGCTCCCTGCTTGGCGGGAAGCCTGCTTCTCCCTCTCCCACTCCCCCTGCTTGTATTCCCTCTCTCACTGTGTCTCTGTCAAATAAATAAATAAAATCTTTTTTTAAAAAAATTTTAAAAAACAAAATAAAATTCTATACTCAAGATTTATTTTCAGTTTGTAAGGATTAAAATGACATGCCCCCAACCTAATAATAAGACATAGTTGTGTTATATATCTACAATAATTAAGTGTCCAAGCACCCTACTTCACACACACACACACACACACACAATCCCAATCTGCACCTATTTTCATATGCTTAGAAGTATAATGCATAAAATTGCAATGATCAGGCACACAAAAAGTTTACAAAAAAGTCTAAATCCCAGTTTATATTTTTATTAATGTTTACAGATAATGAAAACACACAAATTCTTTCAGATTCTGAACCCATGAGCCTAGGCTAGTTTACAAGGCGCCTTACTAACCATACAAAACCCAACTATGATTGAACCCCAAAGGCCTGTATATAGATAGATGTGAAGACAATAAAGGAATGGTTAAGAGCCATGTGAGAGGGGAAGATAAGCATCAGTGGGGCTGTGAGAAAATAAGAACAGAGTAAGAAACACTAACCCAAAGTAAACTACGACTAAGTCTTGTAGGTAAGAACTTGTAAGTAATTAAATTTAGGTACTAACTTTCAGGACCTCTCTATCCCCTTCTAGCTTACTATACCATCAAAAGGCATAAGCCAGGTACATCAAATCTTGTTCTAAGAGGTGTTTTGTATCATGATGTTTGGCCTTACTTCGCTCTTTAACCTCCAGTATATTCTCCAAAAACAAAAACAACCTCAAATACTGATGCAGCCAAATGTTTAAAGTACCAAAATGTAAAAGTGACCAAACTAGCTCAGAACCCTTTATCATCTTCCCATTCCTGCCAAGGTTAAGCCCTAGCCATCCCACCAAGAGTCTCTGGGAACTTTTCATCAAGGCTTGTCTCCCTTTTCTGTACTTTGCATTTATTTGCTCTGTTCTGATATGGACAAATCCACTAACCTGTTTTGTTGGACTGCCAGGCCTTTCTAGAAAGGCTGACACCAAGGTTTAGATTCTCAGCCTAGCTCTCCAAGCTGGCACTGATCTTCAGTTCTGCTTTTCAGATCTTTCTTGGCTCCATGCTACTCTCCCCATGTCTAGCCAGGCTTCTGGAACCTCTGCCTGAATCCTACTTCCCAGTTCCCTAGTTGTCTAAGGAAAATAAGGTGCTTAGGTGATAATATGCTGATGTATCATTTTGTGAAAGTATTAAAACAAACTCCAATGTAGCAGGGACTTGGATTGCCAAATTAATATTCCTTTTGGGTGAACAGTGGCTTAGAGCAGGGTCATCTGCAGTGCACAGTTCCAGGAGTACCATTCACCTTGTTGTTTCTGAAATGTAGGTTTCAGGGGCTGGCACTGATATAGGTACAATATAAAGGTGTACATGATACACTGCTTTCAAGGGAAGCCACACTTAATTGAATACCAAGCCATTATGAAATCTTCAAAGTTTTTGTTTTTTAAAACTAATATTACATAATTCCTGGTAAGTATGCATAGTAAAATGAAGTAATATCGGAGAATTGCCCTCCTCATTATCTATCTTAAAAAAACAAACAATAGTTTTAAAACACAGCCAAACAAAAGTAACGAGCAGAAACTTTAGGAAAGGGACACGACTTCAAGCCAGAATGTAGTAGCCAAAAAAGGTACTGAAGATTTTTAGTAAAGCTTGGGGTGAGTTCTAGTCCTGCCCCCAATGGCAAAAGCAGTACTGGTGAGTAGACAAAATCCTGACAATTCTTTTCTTTTTTTTTTTTTTAGAGAGAGAGTGCCCATAAGCGGGGCAGTATGGAAGAGGGGAAGAGGAAGAGGGAGAGAGAATCCCAAGCAAGCTCCATGCTCAGCACGAGCCAAACCCAGAGCTCAGTCCCACAACCCTGAGGTCATGACCCCAGCCAAAATCAAGAGTCGACACTTAACCGACTGAGCCACCCAGGTGCCCCAAAATCCCGAGAATTCTTAATAATATTTTGGTACTGGGGGAAAAGGAAATGAGTCTGGAGAGAACAGAGGCTGGTGAAGAACCGAACAGTGAGCTGGTCTCTCTCTCTCTCTCTCTCTCTCGGGGCTCTATGCTGAAATGGGAGATCAAACAAATTCAGGGGGTATTCTCCCCAGGGGAGAATTCTCCCCTCTGCCATGTGAAAGGAAAGGAAAAAGACTTATAAACTGCTTTTTTAAAAAAATATTTGAAGGCAAGATCAGACTAAACAAAAACTGACTCAAAATAAAGAACTCAAGAAATATTAAAACAATATTTCCTAAAGAGCCCTCAAATGAACAAGTGACATATCAAAACTTCCATAACCCCTCACTTCACATCAGTTTCTTTTTCCTCTGCTAAATTCAAATAAGAGTATAAATTTCTTACTATAAAGCAGCACATGTAATAGTATGTGTCCATTAATCCACACACCCACAGACACTGTATGTGTCCATGTGGGCACAGACATGACTGGTGTGATGGTCACCTAACAGTTCATTTCTGAGTGACAGGATTAGATGGCTTTAAAAAAACTTTTTTCCTTTATGCTTTGCAGCACCGTTTGGATCATTTGTAATACACGTGCACCATTTTTATTTAAAAAGGATATACGGAGTGAGAAGGCCTACCGAAGGTTTTACACATGCTCAAGACAATCTGCAAACTTCCAGAGAGAAAGGTCTGCCAATCACCTCTCTATAAAATCCTTCCAGGCTAGTGCTAAGGGAAGTGGGGCACAGAAACACTACAGTCTCACTGTGTACCAACTTTTAAAGTGGTCATCAAAACATTCACAAAAGAGGTCTTTCCTTAACCATGATGTGGTCTTTGTGATCTTGGAGTGGCTGCGGTTCATTAAAACTACTTCCACTTACACAAGGCTATATTCGGATTTCAATACAATATTTCCAGGCATTAAAATGTCATTTCATGAATAGTGTATCTTCTATTCTACCTTTAATAAGTAACTACTCCTAAATCCCCTCAGTGAAAGAATTATGTCCAAAAAAAGGGAAAAAGAGGGGCACCTGGGTGGCTCAGTCGTTAAGCGTCTGCCTTCGGCTCAGGTCGTGATCCCAGGGTCCTGGGATTGAGCCCCTCATCGGGCTCCCTGCTCGGCAGGAAGCCTGATTCTCCCTCTCCCACTCCCCGTTTGTGTTCCCTCTCTCGCTATGTCTCTCTCTGTCAGATAAATAAAATCTTTAAAATTAAAAAAAAAGGGAAAAAGAGTTCATCTAACTAAAATGCATATCTGCGAGTTAAAACCTAATAAATTTTATGTATTAATTCCCTAATATATTAAAATAAGAAACATACAGGGCTCCTGGATGGCTCAGTCGGTTGAGCCTCCAACTCTTGGTTTCGGCTCAGGTCGTGATCTCAGGGTCATGGGATCAAGCCCAGCACTGAGCTCCGGGCTCAGCGTGGAGTCTGGTTGGGATTCTCTCCCTGTGCCTCTGCCCCTCCCCCTGCTTATGCGTGCTCCCTCTCTCTCTTTCTCAAAGCAAACAAATAAAATCTTTAAAAAATAATAAAATAAAATAAGAAACATACCAGCAGAGGTGCTTCCATTGTCTTAATAAATCGATGAATATTCAGTGTAGTCAGTGGTGGTTCCATCAGTGTTCTTCTACATTGCTCAGTCAAATCCAAGACTTGTTTACAATGAAAAAAGTAGAGATGTGCATTTTCGATATCCTCAGTGCTACAAATTAAAAATTAGGGACAGATTCACTTGAAGAAGTTCAATGTGTTATCTTTCTACCATCCAGAAAGACATAGTTCCAAATATCTTTAAGTCTCATGCTTTTGAATTACTGTTGTAGTAAAAATCTAAAACAGTAAAACAAAATAAAATGGACCTAAGCAAAAGAAGAAACAAACAGTTTTAGAGTTGTATAAGCAATTTTTTCCCTAAACTTCTTGATATGGTAGCTTCTAAATTAGGTTATGGACAGGTCCACACAATTTTTTTTTTTTAAATAAAAGGCTGTCACCTTGAGGACAAGGAGATTATCTTCGAATGTAGTTGCTTTTCTAGAGCTATTCTAAATAAAGCCTTGTAACACAAATTTTCTAGGTTTAATTTAAACTCAAATCTGTTTTGAATAAACTTCAGCCAAAACATGCCTTAAGATAGAAACCATGTGACAGTTTGTGGGAGTTTGTGAGTTTGTATCTGAAATATTACAAAACTCAGCAAATATGGCTTATAATTTGAGTTCTGGCATCCCTTCAACATGAGAATTCAAAGATAAACTTATAGTGGGTAAGTAAGGTTTGCCAAAATTAAAATAGCATTTTAAAAATCTCCATATGGCATTAGCAGGGTTTGGCAAAATACTGCAAATTTTTATTTTTAAAATGTTATTTTAATTCTGGATACACGCTTAAACTGAGATCTGAGGTTCACTGATTTCAAATTTAATTATAAACTAATTTCTAATAGATTTAATGGTTAAAGAAATGATCAAAGATTACTTAAAGTCTACTCTGTGTTAGGCCCTGTACCAAATACAAAAGACTAAGATGAATAAGATGATTCAAATCTTTGAGGGGCTTAGATAAAAGGAGACACATTTAGTTTTTTTAATGTAGTTTGTAAGTGCTATAATATGCAAAGTACTATGAGAAAAAAAGAAATATTTCATTCTGCCTCAAGTCATAAAGGAGAAAGAAGGAAAGGGAAAAGAAGATCACAGAGATTAAAAACAGTAAAGGAAAGAAGGACTTCCCGAAGAAGACAAATGGGTACTTCCGACAAAGGAACTATATAGCCAAGACCCAATTAAAGTACTTAACTTTTGAACTCTTAAACTCAAAGTACGTATCTTTTGAACTATTTAGGTTCTCATATAGTCACATATATTAAAAGGAAATAGTCACATATATTAAAAGTAAAGTACTGAAAGCAGGAGGACCCAGTTGAGGTTGGACATCATAACCTCTGAAATAATAAAGTAATTTTGGAAAGTAATTTAATCAGAGATCACTGGTTGTAGGTAACAGAAACCAAAAAGGTGGGGAGGGGGGCTTACTGGAAGTGTAGAACTACATATCACAGAACACAAGGAAAATTCAAGTAATTAGATCAGAGAATAAATGCATAGATCTGAACAGCAAGAGTTCAAGGGACCTTCGTTTTGCCATTAATACTTTTCAGTTCCCAACTCTCTTTATAAAGATAACTCTCCCTTCTTTACTTCTACATGGCCAAAATATTCCTATGAGCAAGAGAGCCAAAACCCTGTATAATCCCATTTCTCCATGCCCAATTCCAAGTTCCTGAGAGAGGGCATCTCATTTGCTCAGGTAAGCCAGTGGGCTGGTTGACCCCAGATCAGGTGGCCACCTCTGATCTGACTGACAGTAATATGTATGGTGTGAGGGGGTAACATCCTTGGCCTATACACAGATTCTTTAAGAGGGGAGTATGGGAGGGGCGCCTGGGTGGCTCAGTTGGTTAAGCGACTGCCTTCGGCTCAGGTCATGATCCTGGAGTCCCGGGATCGAGTCCCGCATCGGGCTC